AGATAGACGAGATATTTTGTGAATGCGAATAGGGTGGTTCTTACACAAGACATGATAATGTGGAAATGACAGAATAAAAAACTAAGAAGAGGAGAGGGAGAGTGAAAGAAAATCATAATAGCAAAGAAGGATAATCATAACAGTTTTAAAGGTAATGGTGATGATGAAAACACCAGTGGTACCAATAATTATGATAGTAATAGAAACTGCGATAGTAATGGTGATGATGATGATTACGACGATTATAACCGCAATTACAAAACATTGATAGTGATGATAATGACGGTAGTAGTGGCAGTAATGGTAGTAGTAGTAGTAGTAGTAGTAGTAACAATGTTAATAATAATATCAAGATAAAAGAATGATACTAATGATGATAATAATAACGATAAAAAAACATTAGGGACAATGATAATGGAAATCAAAACATTAGTTATGATGACGATGATAATAATAATGATAATAATGATAACTATAATAATAAAGATGATGATAATAATAATGATAATAATAATGATAATGATAATAATAATAAAATGATAACTAAAAGTGCCCAGAGATCGCATGCCTCCGCCAAGGTGATAGGGTCGCTGATAAATTAAAGATATTCACATTTGAACAATTACATAAATCACCTCTTTCTCAAGTACACCGGTGACGCCCGTATTTCCCGTATTTCGCAGAGCTAACGAATCCTTTAAAAAATCCAAAATCCGGAACATGGCATCTAAGTTGGGCTGAGACACACCTCCGGTAAAAAATATCATAGAAATCTATTCATAGTCTGGTAAAAAATGTCATAGAAATCTGTTCATAGCTTTTTGAGTTATTCTGCTGGACCCGGCTCATCGCAAAAAACTAACTGCATCTGATTCGGGCTAAGACACACCTCTGGCTAAAAAAGAAGAAGAAAAAAATCCTGTAAAAAGAAAGAAAGAAAAAAAAAACTGCTAACAAAAAAGAAAAAAAAAGAAAAAAGGAAAAAATCCTGCAAACAAAAAATAAAAAACAACAACCCTGCTAACAAAGAGAGAGAGAAAAAAATCCTGCAAACCATTTATCCTATTAACCAATTAACCAACAAACTAACCAACGCTACCAAAATCACAACCCATTGGCAGAGGTAATAACAACAATAAAATGACAACAGCTAATCAATATAATGCTCATGATAACTAAAATAATAATGATTGATAATGATAATGCTCTTAATAGTAACAAAAATAATGATACCAGTCCAAATATTGAAACAACAATAGTGGTAATGATGATAACGAAAAAAAATAAATTTGTATATTTCACATTATAGAATTAAGAGACCTTGCCCACCCCTTCTGAACCCAAAAATCAGATGAAAATTCGCCCAAAAAACGGAAGGAAATCGAAAGAAAAAAAGGACGGGGAGGGAGAAGCGGGGAAAAGGAGGAAAGGGGAAGAGGACAAAGGAGAGACGAGATGGAAAAGGGAAGAGAAAGAGAGATGGGGAAGGAGGAGAGGAGAAAGGGAAGGAGAGGAGAGAGGAGAGAGGCAATGAAAAGGGGAAGAGAGAGAGGAGATGGGGAGGGAGATAGAGAAGGAGATTAGGGAGGAAAGGAAAAGGGGAAAGAGAGAATGATAAGGGTAGGAAGAGAGGAGAAGGGGGGAAGCGGAAGAGAAAGAGGAGAAGGGACAGTAGGAGAGGAAAGATAGAAGGAGGAGGGTAGGACAGAGAGGGTAAAGAAAGGGGAGGAGAGAGGAGAAGGAAGAGAACTTAGAAGGGGATAGATGAAACGAAAAGGGGTAGAGAGAGGGGAGAAAGGAAGGAAGGAGAAGAGAAGGGGAGAAAGAGAAGCAGAAAGGGAGGGAAAAGAGAGGAGAAAAGGAGGAAAGAGAGTAGAAGGATAGGAGAGCGAAGAGAAAAGAAAGAGAAATGGAGAGAAGGATAGGAGAGACGAAAAAATAAAGAGAAAGGGGGAGAAGGGAAAGAAGGAGAGGAGAAGGTGACGAAAGAGAAAAGAAGAGGAGGAAGAGAAGAGGAATGACAACAGAAATTGAGGAAAAGAGGAGGAAGGACAGAAGAGCTGGAGGGGAGGGATGAGAGAAGGAGGAGAAGAAGGAGGAAGAACGAGAGAAGAGGCGATAAGAGGGGGGAAAGCGAGGGTCAATCAAGAACTCGCGAACGAAGGAGGCGATCTATTTTATCCACCAGATTTAACGATCGACAACGGGCCGATCTCGACGGCGGCGGAGAATACAAATTGAAGATTACGCCGCTGGAAGAAATTAATCTCAGTCATGTCTTTCTTAGAGAGGGAGTTTAGAAAAAAGGGAGAGAAAAGAGGAGGGAAAAAAACGAAAATGTTTATATATATTTTCTCTTTTTTGTTTTTGTTTATAAAGACCGAGAGAGACCGTCCGTGAAATGCCCCCGGTGAAGCTAACCATAAACGAGGCTCCCTGTGAAAAGAACTCGTTGTGGCGGCGAAATGGCGGGTTGCGTCGACCATTTAGCAGTTTATTATCACGTTTCATAGGTACGTAGTGTTTAAATATCATTAATGAATGGCTGGCAACAGTCTGCAGCAGCTGTACATTGCACAAAACAAGTAATTATCCCGCGCTAAAGAGGGATGCATAAGATATTGCCCGATGAACAAAAATATTCTTAATATCCTCTGGGGTGCGCGTCTTTATGCCTGAGTTTCAAAAGCACGACAGTATTAATTAAGAGGGTTCCTAAGCCCCTCCCACTGTCCTTCTGTTTATATAAGACATGTTATTATGATAAATGAGTGAGCCATAATCAAATACTGCCCAATACCATTTGTTGACCTTCGAACGGATATTTGATATTTCTAGTCTAATAAATTTCGAATCCATATCATTCGGATTTGCGCTGCTGGAAAAATTTGATGGAGTTTCGCATTTATTGGATTGCAAACACAGAATGGAATTTATATTTATCAGCTCTAATGCATAGTATTTCCACGAGATGGTTTGGATTTTACAAGGGCGAACACACATGAATTATGCAACATTATGCAAAGTTGGAATAAAGGCTTTGCATCACTGACGTATCATGAGCAGGTACCATGATTCCCTGAAAATTATTTCTAATTCTTTATCCTCGTTATTCTTTTTTACATTATCAATATATTCCGAAATAATAACCAAGCATAAGCTCAAAAATCATTTACTTTTGAGAGTAACATTTTCCTCACTACTCAAGCAACGCGGTATATACGTAGGTTTTATGTACTAGACAGATCTCACACGAAGAGGAATCTCAGGATCAAATTTCATTACACTTGTTAGGTGATTGTGCTGACCAGGTGCTTCGTGTTTCCATGGTAACGGTAATTGTATCAGTGACTGGTACAGAAATGAAGCCTTTGAGACATGTCCAGCCCGTATCAGTTAAGGAAAGAAAAGAGAAGAAATAGATAAGTAGATAGAGAGATATAGATAGATAAGTAGATAGAGAGATGTAGATAGATAAGTAGATAGAGAGATATAGATAGATAAGTAGATAGATGTGGATAGATAAGTAGATAGAGAGATGTAGATAGATAAGTAGATAGAGAGATATAGATAGATAAGTAGATAGAGAGATATAGATAGATAAGTAGATAGAGATAGATGATAAACTATAGAGAGATGTAGATAGATAAGTAGATAGAGAGATATAGATATATATAGATAGATGATTGATAGATGGATATATATCAACATTTCTATATATCTATAAACAATTAGTCATATTCTATCGATGAAAGATATATAGATAAGTAGATAGAGAGATATAAATAGACAGACAGATATAGATAGATATGTAGATAGATGGTTGGTAGATAGAAATATATCAACATTTCTCTCAACCAAGCACTTAAACAGAAGGAAGACCAGTCGGAAATCAGTCAAAGCCAACAATTAATCACATCCAACATTAAGACGAACAAACTGGCCATTAACAAGAGGCGTCATTTCAGTTCTGAAGAGTTGGCGGCGATTCCCTTCTCACGATCCATTAGACCGACTCGCCGTCCCGAATTTACGTCGCTATTCAGAGTCGGCGAACGTCTGGTCAGTGGCATCGGGGAAGGCTAGATCAGTAGCAACTCAGGGAGGTGTCATGGTGTCTGATTCTATTTTTGGAGAAAAAAATAAAACAAAAACACATGGGGTTTATTTTGATGACGTCGCAGAAGTTACGGATGCTTTGTGAGTGTGGTCAATTTTAATTTTTTAAATTTTGGCCTCTTCAGTTTCGAAAAGGATGTAAAATGATTATTTTTTCATGGTTTATTTTTCATTGAACAATTATCAAAACAGACGCCATGACACCTCCTTGCTTACGATGGTCTCGGAGCTTCGAGAGTTAAGTCAAGGGAGAATGAGAGAAAGACGATTTAAGAGCTTAGAGAGGTAAGTCAAGGTAGGAATGAGAGAAGTTTAGAGCTTCGAGAGGTAGTCAAGGAGAATGAGACAGTTCTGGGGATTCGAGAGATAAGTCAATCTCTAAGTCAAGTCAGTTCTGGAGAAGTAAGTCAGGATTTGAATCTTATTGAATCAGTTTGCCGTTCAGGGAGATTTTATCCGGTCGTTGGCAACGTTATTCTTAGGCCTTTTTATGACAGGTTTGTCTGTTATGGAAGTATGATTCAGATTTATAGTTCCTAAGAGTAATTTTTTTTTATTATTGTTAACGTCTAGAATATCATGAAATGCTATTTTCATTTCAAAATCCGGTGCCTTAAATATGATAAGAACTTAAAGACGAACCCCTTAAAAGTCGGAATATGTACAGTATAGCGCCTAAGAGTACACATACCATATATATATATATATATATATATATATATATATATATATTATATATATATATATATATATATATATATATATATATATATATATATATATATATATATATATATATATATATATATATATATATATAATATATATATATATATATATATATATATATATATATATATATATATATATATATATATATATATATATATATATATATATATTATATATATTATATGTATATGTATATATATATATATATATATATATATATATATATATATATATATAATATATATATATATATATATATATATATATATATATATATATATATATATATATATATATATATATATATATATATATATATATATATATATATATATATATATATATATATATAAGCATGTATGCACACACACACACAAGATTTCCTCCCGTTTATACTGTGACAGTCTTTACTGTATGTGCGTGTTTGTCATTTCTCTAAGTCTGTGTGGAAAACCGAGCTTAAATATTGCCGCACTGTACATCCTCTAGACCGGATCTCTTGGGAATCTTTATTTGCAATTCGATAAGAAACCAACAACACGAGAGGGGAAAGAAATGTAGAAATATCGAGAGAGCATTTTCCTCGGGTTCTTTACTGAACTTCAGCCGGGCTTCTTTCGAGTAAATGTAAATAAGTTCGAGTTATTCCATCTCCCATCACAATATATCATCCGTATGAGAGCAGACAAAAACTGCCGTCGTAACTTCAGTTTGGTGCTCCTTGTATGCCGGAGCGTGGATATCTATCGCAGTTATCCATCTCAATATCCAAGGCTATCAAAAGCATCTGGTGCTCGTAGTTATAGCATGGGATAGACAGAAAGAGAGAGAAAGAGATAAAAAAGGAAGAAAACAAAATGCACTGTGGCTTAAACTATTGAAAACCTTCGTAAAATGTCCTGTGAATCATATTATCAAGCCACCCTTTAAAACCGGTTCAATATGGAAATAGCTTTGTTGATATGCACAAGCTCCTAGTGAGAGAAAGGAGGGTTTAGTGTGATTCCTATATTCCATTCCAACAGAGTACTATATACTATCCTTTTGGAGTTCTAGGCCCTTGTTTCATGCTAACGAAATGCTAGAAATTCTGTAACATGGGACCTTTCTTAATGTTATTCAGGGGAGCGGTGGAGACGTCTAACTCAATGTATTTGTGAAGAAGGAGAGCTTATGGAGTGGTCTTCTGTGCCATAAGATGTTGGGAAGTTTCAACTATCGTGAACTTTCTGTTGGCTGTTCCTGGGAGAGACAAGCATAATGGAAAGAAAGAAGTTTTCCTATTGTTTCGCTTAAAGTTTGTCATTGTTGCTGTTGCAGCTGTCATCGTTGTGCTCTTCATCTTCATTTATGCTATCATTATCTAACTGTCATCCTTTTTACTGTTGTTTTTGTTGTTTTACTTTTATGATCATCATTACTACTGCTATTACTATAGTGTTATTGTTATTATTATCATTATATTGCCATCATCATTAATGTTAGTCTTATTACTCTTATTCTGATTATCATCACTGTAGTTGTCAATTAATATCACCAGTATATCTTATTCATTCTTTATATCATTATTGTTATCATCATTATGAGGCATATTATTAATAGTACCCTAGTCGCCGTTATTTTTATCATCATTACTGTTTTCATCACTATACTTGGTGTCATATTATCGATCCTCTTCTTCTTTTTTCTTCTACATCTTCAGCTCTGTCTTGTTATTATTTTATTTCTATAGAGGTATGTCATTGTTGTTGTGTCGTCGGCATTTTCCAGCGTTATTATTACGCTGTTATTGTTGCTCACTCATTGCTTTTCATTTACACTATTGCTACTACAGTGTCATTGTCGTCACACTCACCATAATAATCAATAACAGAATTACTAATATGACCCTTACCCATCTTTTGCTTTATCATCCTATTAGTTATCATTTGTAATCAATTATATTCTCAGTATCATCGCCATTAATATCACAGGTGGTCGTATTTCATAAGCATCGTCATTTCACCAGAGAATCAAAAGCTTTTGAAAATACTACCATCTCTCTAGGGTTTTTCCACGTACCGTAAAACAGTTTGCTGATGTATAAACCAAAAACATTATTCGTCATAAGCCTACTTTTAAACGCAGAACTCAATACACAATTAATCACGATTCGCATACACCATTGTAACAAAAACAATACATATTCAATGGGATTAAAACATTACAGTCCATGTTAAAGACATAGAAAATAACAGACATTCAAGTTCGATTATCCAACAAAAAAGTGCCCTCATTTTACTGACATCATCAAAAAAAAAAAAAAAAAGAAAAAAGAAAAAAATGAAAGAAATATAAAAAAAGAAAAATAAACATGAACGCTTCAATCACTCTTTTGTAGCCTTTATTTTGTGCCGAATAAAATGCTCAGTAGTTGGTCCGCTTCGCTGTGCTGTAAGCCGTTGTTGACAAGGGCAAGTTCGTGTTTGACGTTATTTTCACATGATAGAGAGAAGTAAATATGCTTCTGCACTCGGCAATTATGGCGCACAATTGTGACTTATTTGTACAGTTGGAAATAATTCAGGTTATATGTAAAGAGGATTTACAAAAGTAAATAAACAAAGAAACACACACACACAACACACACACACACACACACACACCACA